TCTGCCTTTGTGAAGCGCTATGAGATGACTTGTTGTTGTAAATATGCGCAATACAAATAAAATTGAATTGAATTGTTAACTTTGAACTCTTCATTTGCTGTAGAGATTCGGTGAAATGAGGAGCTGCACAAAACAGCTTGTGGATGGCACTGAATGGGACAATTAGCATGAACACCCTGTAGTTTTCCAAAGTTTGACATGAAGTATTCCGATTTTTTTTTTGTCTAACTGAAAGAAAACACAGACAGTAGCCACTTGGAGTGGACATTTTCCTAAGTGTACTAGCTTTTTCTGACCATATGGATACAGTGGAACAAACTGCAATTCTCCTGTAACACATCTGTTGACAAACTTAAATGACAGCACTCCATCATTTACAACTTTTTTAACTTTCAGGAACATTTTTCTTCTTTTTCTATCTACCATCTGTTCACTTCCTATACTTGTGTCCTTATATGACTCTAAGCTGCCAGTATGTGCACTGCAGAAAAGCTCGAACACTAAAAATATACAATAAACAGGAAGATTCAAAAGAAGTAGCAAAGAATCCGTGCAGGTAAATAAGATTGGCATATCCTGACGCGGCACCAAGCTTCAGCCCACGAAGGTGTCTGTGTGAGGAAATAGGTGTGGGTGTTTTTCATTATTCCCTGCTGGTGTGTGTTTGAAAAGCATGTACTGCAACATGAACACCTCACAGGAGTTCCCCATCAGGCCAAGGATGCTTTTAAACCTAAGAGGCCGACTTGCTGGAACGTCGCACCTTCTTGTCCTGGAGGTCTGTAGAGAGCTCATAGCTGTCAGATAGAGCCTTGCAGCGTTTGCTCTCCTCCTCCTCTTGCTTGCGTAGCGCCAGGCTGGCCGGCTGGTGTCGACTGCGCTGAGCCCAGGCGAGGCTTGCTGGGCTGGGGGAAGAGATGGGAGAGCTGCCCTGAAGGAGGAGAGGGGAATAAGTCATAAACATAGTTTTTAAAAATTTGTTCGTTCAGTGGACGCTGACTGAGTGTTTCATGTCTATGCAATGATGTTAGCATATGACATAACAGATTTAGCATATTGATGAGTTGAAACAAGTAAATACACACATGGACAAAATTGTTGGTACCCCTCGGTTAATGAAAGAAAAGCCCACAATGGTCACAGAAATAACTTGAATCTGACAAAAGTAACAATAAATAAAAATTCTATGAAAATTAACACATTGCTTTTGAACCGTGATTCAATGGAATTATTTTGAAAAATAAACTCATGAAACAGGCCTGGACAAAAATGATGGTACCCTTAACTTAATATTTTGTTGCACAACCTTTTGAGGCAATCACTGTAATCAAACGATTTCTGTAACTGTCAATGAGACTTGTGCACCTCTCAGCAGGTATGTTGGTCCACTCCTCATGAGCAGACTGCTCTAGTTGTCTCAGGTTTGAAGGGTGCCTTCTCCAGACGGCATGTTTTAGCTCCTTCCACAGATGTTCAATAGGATTTAGATCAGGGCTCATAGAAGGTCACTTCAGAATAGTCCAATGTTTTCCTCTTAGCCATTCTTGGGTGTTTCTAGCTGTGTGTTTTGGGTCATTATCCTGTTGCAAGACCCATGACCTGCGACTGAGACCAAGCTTTCTGACACTGGGCAACACATTTCTCTATAGAATACCTTGATAGTCCTGAGATTTCATTGTACCCTGCACAGATTCAAGACACCATGTGCCAGATGCAGCAAAGCAGCCCCAGAACATAACAGAGCCTCCTCCATGTTTCACAGTAGGGACGGTGTTCTTTTCTTGATATGTTTCATTTTTGCGTCTGTGAACATAGAGCTGATGTGCCTTGCCAAAAAGTTCCAGTTTTGTCTCGTCTGTCCAGAGGACATTCTCCCAGAAGCTTTGTGGCTTGTCAACATGCAGTTTGGCAAATTCCAGTCTGACTTTTTTATGATTTGTTTTCAACAATGGTGTTCTCCTTGGTCATCTCCCATGAAGTCCACTTTGGCTCAAACAACAATAGATGGTGAGATCTGACACTGATGTACCTTGACCTTGGAGTTCACCTTTAATGTCTTTAGAGGTTGTTCTGGGCTCTTTTGTTACCAGTCGTATTATCCATCTCTTCCATTTGTCATCAATTTTCCTCCTGCGGCCACGTGCAGGGAGGTTGGCTATAGGCCTATGGATTTAAATTTCTGAATAATAGTGCAAGTGGAATCACAGGAACATCAAGCTGCTTGGAGATGGTTTTATAGCCTTTACCTTTAACATAACTATAATTTTCTTTCTAGTCTCCTGAGACAACTCTCTCCTTGGCTTCCTCTGGTCCATGTTTAGTGTGGTACACACCATGGCACCAAGCAGCACAATGACTACTTGTAACCCTATAAATAGGCCGACTGACTGATTACAAGTTAGTAGACACCTGTGATGCTAATTAGAGGACACACCTTGATTGATCATGTCCCTATGGTCACATTATTTTCAGTCTTTTCTAGGGGTACCATCATTTTTGTCAAGGCCTGTTTCATGAATTTATTTTTAAAAATAATTTTGTTGAACCATGGTTCAAAAGCAATGTCTGATTTTCATTGCTTAATTTTCATTGAATTTTTATTTACTATTACTTTTGTCAGACTCAAGTTATTTGATGCAGTCGTCGATCTCAATCTGTAGTCGCTCTGTGATCTGAGCAATGTGCCGTTCACAGCACTATCTGACTGGTTACACGTCATGAGTAACAGACAATCAACACTGAAGGATAAATGTTGAATAGTTCTACTTTAATTTAACATGTAAAACATAAACAAAGATGTCAAGAATTTCATTTTTACTGCAAAAGCATGTCTAACTATAATTTATTGGTCTAAATATTATTAATCAGTACCTACCATGAAAAAAATAAAAATTATTGTCATGGGTGTAGTTTTGAACAGCACATTGTTGAATGTCAGATACTTTCCTGCATTCTTGTGTCATTTCATGCACCAATTAATGCCTTTTTCACATGAATTTATTGGGGGAATGTGTTTATTCATATAAAGGAAAGCATGAAACTCAGACACAATTTCTACGGTTTAAACTATCTTTTGCATGTATATATTTTTTATCCGCCCAATTAAAGAAAAAGTAGCCCAACTGGGCAAAAACACCCAGTATGGAGACACTGGGGTGATACTCCTCATCGCAAACTTCATGCACCTTGAATGGCAGCAGACCTGTTGTGGTGTGTTTTGGTTTTAGGGCCAGTACCTGCTTGTGTATGTGAGAAGCTCCCAGGGGCCCGCTGGAGGAGGTGGAGCTATAGGGGTCGCAGGGGCTGGAAAGGGGGCTGTTGCTATAGCGATGGAAGGGAGGCGGATGGCCGAAGGATGAATCAGAAAAAGTGAGCGCCTCCGGACACTGAGGGTCACCCTCCACACTGAGAGAGAGAAAGAGGGAGCGACAGAGAGACAGGATTATTTATCTGTTGATGCTGCTGATAGAAGGTCAAACTATTTGTTTCCTGTCGTGTCAGAAGAAACGAAGCAAAAAGTGGGAGACAAACAATAGCATAGACAGGAGGAGGAATGGAAAGTTGATCTAAATAACAGAGAACAGAATTAGGATGAGGAGGAGGATGAAAAGAAAGAATGGAGAAAGGATGAAAATAACAGAGATGGGGAAGAGGAGAAGATGAATGCATAGAGGAGAAAAAGAGGATGACAGAGAGGAAACAAGAGAAGAAGAAGAGGATAAGAAAGGAGTAGAAGAAGAAAGTGGTGGCAATAGGAGAGAAAAAATGGTAGAAGACAAGTCAGCAACTAAACAGACTAAATAGGACTAAACCAGAACAAACCAGATTCAAGGATGGATCGAATCTGACAAAGTTTACTGAACCAATCAGCCAAAGTGGAAAAAAAACTCCAACAAGACCAAATCAGACTTAACTGGCATAAATCAGACTAGACTGGAACAAGACAAAATAGAACAAAAATATCAAACAGACTGAATCAGACCAAACTGGAATAAACCAAAAAAGACAAAGAGAATTTAACCAGAAAAAGGGGGATAAACCAGAATAAACAACACCAGACAAAACAAACTGGAATACTCTAAGGAATAAACTAGACTGACTTGGACTATACTAAAGAAGAAGAAAACAGATAAAAACACTCACAAAACCAAACCTGCACCAAGTTATACTAAAGTAGTTAAGACCAGACTCAAGCCAGCTTAACAAAAGAAGCTAAAACAAACTAAAATAAACTAAACCAAACCTTACAAACTAGAAAAAAAAATAAATAAATACCGCAGTGGATAAGATAGGATAAGATAAGATATGCCTTTATTTATCTCACAGTGGAGAAATTCACAATCAATCAATCTAGATTAAATTTGTCAGTTTAAACTAGACTCAGTGGATGAATAAAACAAGCTAAAGTGAATTTGACAAGAAAAATGGAATAATCCAGAACAAACTGACCCAAGCCAGACAAACTGCAACAACCCATACTAATCAGCTCAATCTAGACTAAATGGGAGTAAACCAAACTGTAACCACACAAACCAAAAAACAAAACAAACAAAAAAAACCCCCACAAAGCTGAATTTACTTGAACAAACCAACCAACCAATTTAAACCAGACTAAACTGAAACAAATCAAACACATAAAAACACCGGACCAGCTGCATCAGGCTAGACCTAACTGGACCACACCAGACTTAACTAGACACAAGAAATGAATCAAATATATATATATATATATATATATATAAATGGGGGATTATCCTGAATAAACTGGCCCAAAACAGAGAACTAGAACAAGAGTAGACTAAACTATACGAACTGGATCAATCTAGACAAAATGGGAATAAACCAAATTTGACCGAACGAGACTCAGCTGGACTAAATTACACTTAGTGACAAGTCAAATGAGACAAGGTCAGCAAAGCCAGAAAAAGTGGAACAAACCAGAATGAAACTGGATCAGAAGAGCCTAGAATATGTTGAACTGAACTGGACCAAAAGGCAGACCAAGTGGGTCATACTGGACTTAACTGAGCCAAAGCAGAAATATATGATATAACTCCGTCTGATCCAAACCAAATACAGGTAAACTGGCATAAAAATTGGATTAAACTGGATTGACTAACGAAAATAAACCAAAATAAAATCAAATAAAAGTACACTCAACCTGAATGATCATGATTAAACCAGAGCAAATACAATAACTGCACCAAATAGAACTAAACTAGACTAAATACAATCTAACTGGATCAAATCAGACAGATGAAAACAGAATAAACTGGATCAAACTGGACCAGAATAAACCAGTCCAGTGGTCAGCTGACTGCTAAACATCCATCATCATTTTAACATCCTCGGAGAGACGCTGTCAGCAGCTTCGCCTGACACATGGATTACTACTAACAGAAACACTGAGAACGATAGGTGATCAATCAACTTATTGATGAGTTTAAGAGCAGATGAGAGCGGAGAGAAGAGGAAGAATCTGCGTGATGGATAGTTTGTGCCTTTCATCATCAAAAAGGCTCTTCATTTTTAATCTAAGACACCCGTGAAGCTGGCAGGGAAGCTCACGTGGGCACTGCCAAGCTAACACGCACACGCACACACACACAGAGTCACATGAGGGTGACTCACGGCTAGCAGCAGTGTGTCTTTGAGTGAATGTGGGTGTGCAGTGTGTGTGATTGTGGGTGTTCAGTGTGTTGTGTTTGTGAGAGACGCAGCATGAGTGTGTGGGAGACAATGTGTGCGTGTATTTGCACACAGCTATCTTTGTGAGGACAGATTTGAGTTTTAGACCTTGGGAGTGAGGACATCTTGTTGAAGGTGAGGACATTTAAAGGGCTGTTTGAGGGTTTAGACTTGGTTTCAGGGTTCAGGTTAGAATCAGGTTCAGGTTTGACATTTCTCCGTGATGGTCAATCTTATACAACCTGGGACTGGGCCGTACCTGTTTTTGCAACACAACCTCAATGCCATTTTTGGTGGCCAACTTTGGCATGTCCACTGAAGATTCCTCCTGGTACTGCTGTGATGAAAATTGATACAGTTTTGATGTGCTACATCAAATTTTGTAGAGCCTCAGTTGAGAATTTGTAGAAATAGCTCAGTGATATCAGTGTCACTGACTCACTGTTATAAGGCTGTTATTTTTCTCTAATTTACTGTTTGACTCAGCCGGAAGTGTAATTGTCATTTTTTGCTTTAGTTTTTCAGATTTCACTCTGACCTGGTAATGAGGAGAACGTGACTTAGTGTTTTATGAAATTCGACTAAATGTGTCTGTGATCCGTAAAGCCCCAGGTTGTTAATTTTAGACTTACTGCTGTGGAGCTGTGACTGGTTGGATTTGGAGATTTTATTTCCAGTGGTGTTGCCGGGGGCTGAATTTCAGGAATTCTATTATGCTCTTTTAGAACAGAGGCTGGTTAAAAAATGTGAAAGTAGTGAATGACGTTACCGCTGTACTGTGTTGTACGTAAATGCACGTTATTATTGAACGTTAATGATGGGCCTCACAGTCATCTGGCTGCTGAGTGTAGTGCTGTTTTCATTTGCACTTGAAAATTTGATATTCGAGTTATAGTGAATGAACTTGATCTAGCAGATGTGGGGTGGTCACTGGGATGGCCAGTTGGGTTTCATATGAGTGGCTTTGCCTCCTAGACATAATTCCAGTTCTATGTGAGTGCAGGAGACAGAACAATGGAGATTTGTTATGTTAGCCTATATGTTGATGTTACGTTGTTGTTGGTGATGTTTGAGAGAAAACTGCTACCGGATGAGGACACAGAGAGAAAAATGGTGCACAGTCTCCTCTTACTTTGTCAAGGCCACTCAGAAGTATCTATTGTGAAGTAGGTAATGTTTTCTCTACCTGCACTAACTCTCCTATATATATATATATACACACATATACAAACAATATATATATATAAATATTGTTCGTGCTGCAAGGTGACTCGGTGGTTAGCACCGTTGCCTCGCAGTTCTTCCCGTGCAGCATGGGTTCTCTCTGGGTTCTCCGGCTTCCTCCTACACCGCCCAAAAACATGCTGAGGTTAACTGGTGATTCTAAATTGTCCATAGGTGTGACTGTGAGTGTGCTTGGTTGTCTGTCTCTAAGTGTGGGCCTGCGATAGACTGGCGACCTTTCCAGGGTGTCCCCTGCCTTCACCCTAAATCAGCTGGGATAGGCTCCAGCCCCCCACGACCCAAGTCAGGATTAAGTGTGTATAGTAAATGGATGGATATTGTTCGTATAATATAATTCATTAGGTAAATTTGTCATTTTCTAAATGTGTATTTATTTGTATTTGAGTTTGTTTAAATGCCCTATACTGTGTCAATAAATAAAGAAACGAATAATATAAATAAATGAATAATGTCCTGTCATATTCATTTTTAATTGGGTCCAAATATCCGGAGCCCAGATATTGCTGTTCGGACCAGCGCTAGATGTTACCTAAAATTAATTAAATAGCCCACATATATCGGTATCGGTATCAATTGATATCAAAATCAGAAATTGAGAGTTGGACAATATCGGCATATCAGATATTGGCAAAAAAGCAAATATCAGACATCCTTAGTTTTCTCTGTTGCAAACAGCAACAAAAAAAGGTTCTACAATGTTGGTTCTTACAGTCTTATAGTCGTTCAAAGCACAATGAACAAGAAAAAAAACAAGGTGTGCATATAGGCACAGATTTTAAAAAATGCTAGCTGAGATAAAATGCTGCCAGTACTCAACCCATGAGAAACATTAAAGCGCTGCAAGCTCACAGCTGAAGGTCTTTTACTTCATCACAAACCTCTGAACAGCAACGTTTTGGAGGGTAAAATAATTCCCCAGCTGATTAATTTAGACTCTGGTCCCAGGGGAAAGTTCCTGTCTCTGGATCTGGAGCTCCTGAACTACAGCCGCTGGCCTCACCTTCTGCATCCTGCTGCCCCCACCATGATGCCTCCTGTTACAAAAGGACAATAACGTCTAATAACTTGTTTAACTGTAAACTAAAATTTTTTAGTTTTTTTTCCCCTGCGGGGGTTTTCGGTTCCTTCCCACTGTTGTGGACTGCTTGCGGACTGCTGAAGCTTATAGGGAATCCAGATGTTTTGGATTGTTGGGTGTTTCTGTCTCTGCCTTTGTGAAGCGCTATGAGATGACTTGTTGTTGTAAATATGCGCAATACAAATAAAATTGAATTGAACTGAATTGAATAATGGAACTGACCCTTAAAGGAAGCAACTGGAGTCCCCTGAACACACTGTCAAGATCGTGAAACCAGTTTGTGACATGGTGAATTATCCTATTCGAAGCTGTCGTTAGAGGACGGTAAACTCTGGCCATAAAAGGATGTACATGCTCAGTAACAACAATCAGACAGGCTGTGGCATTCAAACCA